GGGGGCGGGCGGGAAGGGGAGGGACACTTCCTAAGGTCTCTAAAGGGGGTTGGGGGTGGGGTAGAGGTGGTTCCTGGTTCCAACCTGTCCCAAGCTGTCACCTGGCCAGGCCTGGGTGAGAGCCTCACGGCCTCAACCCGGAAGATGGGAGAAGAAATGCCAGGTGACCTCCCTGCCCACTCTGGGCCTGAGTTTAAGCTCCCTGGCATTCAGGCTACAGCTTGGGTGAGGCCCTGATTGGAGGGTGTGTGTGTGTTGGCAGGGGTGAGGGGACCCTGCCCTGGAAGAGCAGGCCTTGGGTAGTCCCAGAGTGGAGGGAGACCAGGCTGAAGGGCTGGAGAGATCTGGAAAGCTCCCCAGAGGAAGTGTGTCAAGCTGGATCTAGAAGGATGGGTAGCAACTGGAGGAAGGGAGGAGGTAGTTGAGGTGGGAAGAATGGTGGGAGGTACAGAGACGGAGAGAAGAACAGACAGAATGATAGAGGAAGACAGCATGACGTGGAGAGACCAAGCCAGAGGGAGAGACAGGTTAGGGTAATGGGACCACCAACTCCAGAGTCGGCCTGCCTCTTGCTAGCACTGTGGCTTGGGCAAGTCACTTACCATTGCTGGGCCTCAGTTTTCACCTCTGTAAAATGGGGACACTGGTAGTATTGACCTCAAGGGGTGGTTTTGAAGGTTGAATGAGTTAGTTATTACCAGGCACTTGGAACAAGCCTGATTCATTGGTCATGCACCAAGCAAGTGTCCATTACATTAGTCAGAAAAGGAGATAGAAGGGCTCAAAGGGGAAACAGGGAACAGCAGAGGAAAGAGATCGGTGGCAGAAAGCTAGCGAGACACAGAAGGTTAGGCTGGGGTGAGGTTCCTCAGCGGCTTCCTGGGGAAAGCGGTCTTGACTTGGGTGGGGGGAGGGGCATTCACGGCCCTGACCAGCCCGTCTGGAGGGCAGGATACACTGGGTGAGGAAGGCCGCCGCGGGGAAGGGCCAAGGGGGCCAGGTGGGGAGGCCTCCCATGCCAGGGTGAGGTATCTGACCTCCGTCTCCCGTGTCTCCAACAGAGGCGGCAGCTGCCCCCACTGCGGCTCCCGGCCCTGCCCAGCCTGGGCGCGTGTCCCCGACACCGGCCACCACATCCCCTGGTGAGAAGGGTGAGGCAGGCACCCCCGTGGCTGCAGGCACCACCGCAGCCGCCATCCCCCGTCGGCACGCCCCCCTGGAGCAGCTGGTTCGCCAGGGCTCCTTCCGTGGGTTCCCGGCGCTCAGCCAGAAGAACTCGCCTTTCAAACGGCAGCTGAGCCTGAGGCTGAATGAGCTGCCATCCACGCTGCAGCGCCGCACTGACTTCCAGGTGAAGAGCACAGGTGAGCCCGGGATCAATACCACTGTCTGTGCAGAGATAGAGAACGGGGTGGCCACCACGGTTGATTTAGCACTGTCTACCGTGCACACAGATGAGAGGTGGAACACGTTGTGATCCACTAGCAGTGTCTGCCAGGAGCTAGAGGGAGTAGAAATCATGATCCATTAGCAGTGTCTGCTATGGACAAAGGATAAAAGAAAGGTGCCACAAATCATGATCAATTAGCTATGTTTGCTGTGGTTAGGGAAATGCAAGAGGTGGCCTACATGACTGATTAGCAAAGTGCTGTGGACAAGGGGAGGAGGGCAGCTGCACCAATGCCAGGATTTTGCTCAGGAGGAGACTGAGGCACCAGCCTTTGCCAGTAAAGCCATGAGATCTGGCCGCGTGAAGAATTCAGGCTGTGTCACAGAGGATTGTGATGGGTTAGCAATGCCTGCCTGGGGCAGGGAGAATAGAGTGATGGCTTACATCTTGAGCTCCTTCCAATGTCTGCGTGAGCAAGAAAAAGGAGAAGGTGGCACACCACGTGAATAATTAGCAGAGTTTGCTGTGGGCAAGGGAGGAAGGGAGAGCAATAGCAGTGCTATGTTTTCACCCACGGAGAGACGGCCAGAATTTGGCCAGAGGAAACGTGAAGTGGAGGGCACAAGGGAGTGTGGGAATCGCAGGGTCAGGGAGCATGGTGGTGGCTTTGTGATGTCACTTGAGGGCAAAGGACTGGGCTAGGGCAGCACCCACCATCGTTGATTAGCAATGTCTGCCATGGGTGATGCTAGGAGAGAGGCCGTTTAAATGTCCTGTTTTGCTTGGAGGGAAGATGGAGTCACAAGGATCAGTCCTGTCTTCCAGGATTTGGCCTGTAGAGGCCAGAGCCAGGTGAGGGGTGAGGTGAGCAGAGTTCAGTGGGGGGAAAGCATTGTGTTTGATTACTAATGTCTGCGATGGGCCCAGGAAAGGAGAAAGATGGTATATGCCATGATGTAAAGCAGTCTGGCCCAGCGGGTGTGGCTCAGTCGTTGAACATCGACCAGTGAACCAGGAGGTCATGGTTCGAACCTGGTCAGGGCACATGCCCAGGTTATGGGCTCAATCCCCAGTAGGGGGCATGCAGGAGGCAGCTGATCAATGATTCTCTCTCATCATTGATGCTTCTATTGCTCTCCCTCTCCCTTCCCTTCTCTGAAATCAATAAAAATATATTTAAAGAAAAAATAAAGCAACAGCTGCAGTGAGAAAGGGAGAGGAGAGGTGGTGTGGTACCACGTTTTGTGCAAGGGAGAAGGCGGGAGGGCGGCCTTTCCTCCAGCTGCCGGTGAAGTCATGTGGTCTGGCCTGCTCCCCTGCCTCCAGACACCTCACCGGGACACCTACCCTCACGGCTCGGGGACTGGTGTGGGAGGTGTGGACGGGTATCCAGGAGGCTGGGCTACTCCAGAAGGTGACGGCTGGGCGGATGCCAGGGCTCGTTGAGAATGACTGGCATTCACTCCTCCGTGTCCACAGCATCCCTTTTTTGCTGTCCTCTTCCAGCCTGACATTAAGCTCACACGTGCTCCCTGGAGGGGGCAGGCTCCCCAGGCTTTATTTGAAAGCCTCACACTCCTGTAGCCAATTGCTCATTTGCTTAGACGTGACTTGCCACACAGAAATTTCACCGACTCACACAGATGTTCCGGTCAGTCGCACACTTAGTCATGTGCACACCAAAATCACACAGAATTGGAAGTTGCAGGTACCCCCCCATTCATGCACACTTGGAAGTCACACATGCAGATTCATGCATGCTTGCAAACACGTTCATACATCATGCAGGCAGCGTGGCTCACACTTGGGAATCGCAGTCAGGTCACCACACACCGGATTTCAGTCGCACTCAGATGCCACATCCTCTGAAGCTGCATGCTCCTTCGGACTAACACACACACTCCATGTAAATGACCTGGAGGCCATATACCCTCCCCCCTGCCCACCCCCACGCCCCCCCTGCTGACTCCTCCACTCAGCTTC